CGCGCCGGCCACAACCACCCACCCCGGGAGCTCCCGACGGCTACGAGCCGTGCTGCCAGGCAGCGGGCACCGCTCCCGCGCCCACCCCGAGGCTTGGGACCCCACCGACCCTGGCAGAGCGGCCTCTGGTGGACCTTGTACCCGAAAAACACGGGCAAGTCGCGGACCGCAGGGGCATTCACAAACTGGACCCATGTGGCCCTGCGCAAGCTTAGATCCACCCAAACCGAGGCCCTCTCCTCCACGCAGCCCATGCCATCCTCTCCGCTTTTCCCATGCTGGGCAGTGAACCATGTGGCTCTGATGGCCGAGGACGTCTGTGAGCCTCGGTTTCTTCATCCATAAAAATTTTACACCCCGGAGCTTAGCGGAAGGAATGCACGTTGAATTATGAGTCAGACAAATTTGGATTTGAATTTCAGTTTGAGCGCTTGCCAGCTCTGTGGTCTTTCATGAGCACTTGAACTTCAATGCCGCAGTGTCGTCTGTAGAATGGGAGACTGATGTGTATATTAGGCAGGAAATGTCTGTCCATCTCCGTGTGGAAGACTGACTCAGAAGGGGTGTCGAGTGAAGAAGGAATAAAAAAGGCTTTTACTTTTTGTGCTTTTTGTTCTATTTATATTGTTTGTCTTTTTGTAAATATTTATTTGGCTCTTTATTTTCGAGGCAGGGTCCTATTATGAAGTCCTGGCCGGCCTGGACCTCACTGTATAGACCAGGCTGGCCCCCAGTTCACACAGATCCACCTGCCTTGCTTCTGGATTAAAGTCGTGCACTACCACACCTGTCCAACCTTGTAAATTTTCTGAAAGACGAAAACACATAGTGCATGGTTGTATATATTTCTAATCTCAGGACTTGGGTGGCTGAGGCAGGAGGACCACTGCAAGCTCAAGACCAGCCTGGGAAAGCCAGTAAATTCTACAGACTCTGTAGCAGACTGGGCTACAGAGTGAGACCATCCCAATCTCAACAACAATAAACAACACCCAAATAAGGGCAAAGAGATGGCTCAGCCATTAAAGGCCAGGCTCTCAACCAAAGTGTCAAAACATTATAGAAGTACTAGCAACATTGTCTTGTGACCCCACAGAACCACAAAAGCCCTTGATGTCCTGCCTAATATTTCTTGGATAGCTTTTGCTGAGGGCACAGAAGCTAAGCCTCCGTCCTCAAAGTGCTGAGTCAAGTTAGAATAGGCCCTGCCAGTGAGCATTGACCTCCTCGGATTTAACATGGGGCTCTGTGGGAGCAGGAGCCGTCTCAAAGATGACGGCTGTGCACATAAAACAGTCCTGAGCTGGGCTTTACATGCTGGAAGCCCGGCTTCCATTCCCAGCCCTGGATAAAGCAGAATACTATTGTTTGTTATTGAGACAGGGCCCTGCAAATACAGGACAGGCTGTGGAAACTCACCATGAACGCCTCTGGCTTCAGCCACCTGAGTCTGGGATTACAATATTGGGATAAGCCAAAACTTTAGCCTTATTTGAAATTTAACATGCATATTTTGTTTTCTCAGGAAATCCCTACATTCTTTCGGCACAAGCACGGCTTAAACCCTTTGCTTTTTGTGTTCTGTATCCGTGGCTGGTAGAGTTACAGGAAATATGAGATTGGTGGTAATAAGTGTGATCCTAGCGTTAAAGAGGCTGAGGCCTGCAGGAGGATTGTGAACTCAAGGCCACCCCAGAGGTAGAGGCCCAGGAGGTGACTCAGAGGTTTAGAGCACTTGCAAGGACCGCGGTTCCATTCCCAACACCCTCATGGTGACTTTCAACTGTACACCAGATCCGGGAGATCCAGTGCCTTCTTCTGACCTCCCTGGGCTCCAGGTATGCGCACGTTACATGTACATATGTACAAGCAAAACACTTACACACAAAAAATTTATTAAAAGGTGATGGAAGGAAGCTTGGCTTTAAAAGGGGGAAGAGAGCAGGAGCGGGGAGGAAAAAGAGGGAACAGGAAAGGAAGGAATAATTCCGTTTGAACTGGTCAGGGAGCTGGAGAGGAGAAAACTGAAGTTTTGTTTCTAGTGCTCAAGTGTAGGGCTTTGCAGTCCGGCTCCATGGGATCTGACCACTCCTTCTGCAGGCATGGCCTCATGTACACATACCCTCCCCCACACATATAAACATAACTTAAAAATAGCTGCCTATTGTGGCACACACCTTTGTTTTACTTTATTTTTTAAAGACTTGTTTTTGTTAGCCGGCACGGTGGCACACACCTTTAATTCCAGCACTTTAGATGTAAAAGCAGGTGGATCTCTGTGAGTTCCAGGACAACCAACGCTACATAGAGAGACCCTACCTCAACCTCCCCCCAAATATATTCATTTTATGTGTATGAGTATTTTGCTCACATGTATTTTATTTTGTTTTGTTTTTTGTTTTTTTTTTGAGACAGTTTTGCTCTGTGGCTTTGGAGCCTGCCCTGGCACTAGCTCTTGTAGACCAGGCTGGTCTCGAACTCACAGAGATCTGCCCACCTCTGCATCCGGAGTGCTGGGATTAAAGGCACTGCCCAGCTCTCTCTGTGTATACTCGGTACCTGCAGAGGACAGAAGAGGCCAGTGGGTCCCTTGGAATTGGTGTTCCAAGTGGTTGCTGGAAAACAAACCTGGGTCTTCTGCAAGAGCAGTGATCACTCTTAACCACTGAACCATCTCTTCAGCTGTATTTTTTTTAAAAAAAGGTAAAATAAGTTGAAATTAGTATATTTTTAAAGAATCACCTCGAGCTAATTTTAGAGATTTTTTTTTTTTTTTTTACTCTGTGCGTGTGTGCTCAAGAAGGTCAGTAGACGGTATCAGATCTCTTGGATTCGGAATTACAGGTAGTTGTGAGCTGCCTGATCTGGGAACCGAACTCAGGTCCTCTGCAAAAGCAGCAAGCTCCCTTACCCCCTATGTCTCTCCAGCCATGCCCTCTGCCCTAATTCTTTCTGTTGAGTTATAAAACACTCTAATTTAGAATTTTTGACAGGTCACTAAAAATACCCAAAACAAACTTTAAAATCACAAAGTATGTTGGGTGGTGGTGATGCACGCCTTTAATCCCAGAAGTTGGAAAGTAAAGGCAGAGGCAGGTGGATCTCTGTGAGTTCGAGGCCAGCCTGGTCTACAGTGAGTTCCAGGACAGTCTGGTCTACAGTGAGTTCTAGGACAGCCAGGGAGACACAGAGAAACCTTGTCTCAAAAAAACAAAAACAAAACAAAACAATACCCGAAACCAAAAACCAAAAACCAAAAAAACAGCATAAAGAACCCCACCAAAAACAACTACAACGACAAACCTGCACACACAAAGGTGTCACTAAACATGACAGAGGCCTCCCTGGGGGCCTCTCCTTAACGGGGCTCAGATCCTGGGTCTGTGAAGGCCCTGAGCTAACGCCCCTGTCTGGAGGTGTGTCTTCTCTAAGGACAGCTGTGGACACACAGTCCTAACCCAGAGGTGTATTTATAGAGCTGGTTTCTCGGAGGGGGAAAGCCCCTTTGCCCGTGCTGGGGACTGCATGAACGGAGGATCAAAGGCAATCTGCCTCGTGGGGGCGGGGAGAAGGTTTTTAGGCCAGACAGTTTTCAGTGCTGACCCTGGCTGCCCAACGCCCCTCACCTCTGAGGACACCAACTGCAGGACAGGCAGGCTTTCCAGCCTGGAGGGGAGCGGAGGGAAGGCTGTTGACGCTGTTGACATTTCTAACTGCGGGGAACTGAAGGACACAAATAGTCCTTCCCATTAAGAGATGGCTGTGCACCAAAGAGCTCCACAGCTGTCACCTCCCTGGGTCGGTGCCTGCAGCACTTTCTGACACCTCAGCTATTTTGTGGGTCCCCTCTGGAGCATAAAAAAGCATTTTTTCTTTTTTTTTTCTTTCTTTTTTTCTTTTTCTTTTTCTTTTCTTTTTTTTTTTTTTTTTGTGGAAAATTATATAAGGGTTGGGACTAAACCAGGCCCTGGTGTCTTTCATCCCAGGAGGCAGAGACAGGTGGATCTCTGTGAGTTCAAGGTCAGCCAGGTTTACAAAGTGAGTTCCAGAACAGCCAGGTCTGTTACAAAGAGAAACCCTGTCTCGAAAAACCAAAAAGAAAACAGAAAAGGCCTGGGCCTAGTATTCATGCCTGCTATCCCAATATTTGAGAGGTTGAGGCGAGAGGATTGCTCCAAGGCCAGGCTAGGCTACGGAGTGAGTCCCGGGCCAGGCTGGGTTACAGCGAGGCCCTGCCTTTAAAGAGCAAGCTAAGAAAATTGTGCAAGAAGCAGACGTTCACTCAAAAGCACCTCTTGGGAAGGGGCAAAGAGAAGACAAAGTGTGCTGACTGAGCTGGGCGTGGTGCTGAGCGCTTGTAATTCCATCATTTGGCAATCAGAGTCAGCCTAGCCAAGGTTATCTTATACCATAAGGCCCAAACAGACAGCAAAAGCTCACTTGTAACATGGCGGTGCCGGCTTGTTGGGGTTTCTGTCCCGCCCGGTACCCCACAACCAGCAAGCCCCAAATAAAATCATACAGAGATCTCCATAAATTATAAAACTGATTGACCCATTAGCCCAGGCTACTTATTAGCTCTTGTAGCTTATATTAACCC